CTTATAATAGTTTAAAATAAATTTTTAAAATTTGACTTTGATATCAAAAACTGTAAAACTCAATTCTGTTCTTCTTTTTTTTTTTTTTTTTTTTCTTTTGCTGTTGTTAAATTTCTTGTTTCTAAAGTTATCAATCTATTTACTGTAGAACTTCCTTCCTGTTGTAAGTACACAAGAAAGAAAGATCATGTTGTGGTAGCGAGTTTCAATGCCGAGTTTGACTTTATTATTTCGTAATAGTGTTCTGTTATTTTTTAAGCCATGGAAATGTGATAAATAAACTTAATGTTTCCTTGCATGTTTATTTATTACCTGTTTTTCAATACATTTTAGATGTATTATATGTACATCATAGATAAATTTAATAGAGAGATATATAAATATTACCCATTTAAATTAGTTTAACACTTTAGATGTTTTTACATCATAATTTCTTTTAACAAAGTGACCTAACTTGTGAGTCCTTAAGCTTACTAGTTGTGCATGCATAACAGCATAGTAAATGGCTGTTATATAGTGGTTTTCATCATTGTATCTCAAATCACAAGTTTACCAAAAAACTATTTATTATTATTAAATGCAACATTTTGGGAATATGCCCTTCGTCAGGTGGTATAAACCATGTAATGCAGTTTATACTGCTTGACAAATGACTTCTGTCCGAAACATTGCAAGTAATAATAATAAATAGTTTTTGCTACAGACAGCATGTGTTTTTAACATTTTTTCGACTCTTGGAAGTGGACAGATGGTGCCTGATGATGCCTTAATGGGTACCTTTCACTGCATATCATTAGAAATGACAGTAACAGGATCTCTCAACCCCAAACAGGATGGGAACCATCTACATTTTATTATTTTTTTATAGATATATATATTTTGATGTTTCCATTGCACTGTCCTCACATTCTTGTGCCCATCCTTGGAGATTTGTTGATTCTTTCTTCAACATTACCTGAGCATGCAATAATTTGGCCAGTTGTGTGAGTCACTGGCCATTTCTGATATAGATAAAGAGGGGTTCTGGAGTATGTTCTTTCATAATAGGTGTCTGGGCTACTCCCCCGAGAACCTTCCACTGCAGGAGTTGGACATAGTATTCCTCCTACCTATTTATTTTCCACCACATGTGTCCAATTGTTTTTTTTCCACAGGATTAGTACACCATTACTGTTCCTATAACTAATCCCTTTTCCTGAATTAAAGGACATCATGGGCAACTAAATAAAAACCTTATTTCTGGGTGTCTTTTAGGTCCAGTCTTTTTATAAGGCTAGTCCATTTCAATCAAATCCAACTTTGCAAATTATTTTTTGGTTATGGATTCTACTCTGACTCTGCTTGGTGACATTTTACGTAGTCTAGGTTATATCTTCCTTCTCTCTAGCTTTTAATTGTATATTTTTGAGTTTCTTATATGATTTGATTTTCACCTTTTTTACAGTGTTGGGTATTCTGGCTTTCACTATTACAGAGGAAAGTCTACCTGTTTTGAATTTCAAACAGCTACTTACCTTTGAAATAACTTTCCTTCCTTCTCCTTACAACAAAGTTTTCATCACGGCTGCAACTTTCAATAAAATCTAAATTACAGTGGGAAAGCAGAATTTATGTAAAATCCCCTGATTGAACACACAGTAAATCATGTGGTGATTCATGCTGTGTGGTGCATGAAACACATTCAGAAATATGAGTCACAACTTTAGTTGACAACATGAATTCAAACTCAACAAAGAAAGACTCATTATTTCTGGGGTAAGTACCAGTTTGAAATTTATTTGAATTCTAAAAATATAAAATTCAAGCACATATAAGTCTGTTATTAATGTTTGTTCTGATTTTTAAAAATCAAAAGATTTAACATCCCCAAGGATCACGGAGAAATGGTCACAATTTTCCCTGCAAGGAAAAGTCAGATAATTTTAATATTAACTGATGTTTTTCACAATTACTTTGAAAAATTATGAAAGTGAAAAACCGAGTAATAAAATGAACACTGTTTTCCCTTCAGTACTATAGAATAAAATTTATATTATTACAAATTAATATTTCCTATTATATTTTTTAATCCTGTTGCTCAGATAAGTACTCACTCCATACTATTTAAGTTTTTTAGTCTCTGTACAAGAGCTGCAGTAAAAACTTGTTCAAAAATCATAATATCTTCTGAACCAGATTACCATTTAGTCTAACGAATTAGGTGTTTAAAATTACATTTCTTCAGAAGTTTGATAGGGTACTTGTTTTTGTTCAAAATACATACCTGTGTATCAATTGTTTGTACAGTTGTGTAGGTTAGGAATATACCTGATTTTGTTAAGTGTGTCTCACATATGCATAAATTGTATTTCTGTTTGTATAAGTATGATAACTTCTAATTTGAGTTAAGTTTTTTTTTTTTTTGTCCCCCAGTAATACAGCAGAAAGTCTTAAGACTTGTAATGCTACAACTAAGGTTTCATTACCCTGGCTGACACAGCACAGATGACTCATTCTTTGCACTTAAAATCAAACAAAAAAAATATTTTTGATGATTTGTAACTTCTAATTGTTAATATAAGCAAACCTTAATTTGTGTATTTTACATTAGATGTGTGTCAGGTTTTATGTTTGGGCCAGATTCTTTACAGTGGGTGTTTGTGACTCATTGGTGATAAATTTCAACACTAAACAGCAAACAAGTCAAATATATATAAAAATATTCATTACACTGTTGGTTATCACAGTTGTATCCAGAGTTTTAAGTCTAAGTCTAAGAGTCTATACCCAAATAACCTCTCGCATAACCAACAAAACAACTTGAGTATTAAAAAATACTTTTTTTTCCAATATATAAAGTTTCAAATTCTATTTGCATAACCCCTAGAACATGGATGCGAACCTTTGGCAAGATAGCATGCAGAATTAACTGCTGTCCCAAGTTTTTTTTATCCGACCAATATATATATCTGAAGGAATAGAGGTTGTATATGTCTATAATTAATTAATTATATAATGTAATAATTATATATATAAAATAATTATAATACATAAAATTAATAATAATAACAGTAATTTTGCTGCTCAAAATTTCCATGGAGCCGCAAAATTATTTTTCTGAAGGATTATTGATAATTTGGGCACATGTTCTCAAAGAGGTTCGCCAGCCCTGCCCTAGAACATCTTTTAGTGAATATCAAAACTTTTATTTTTTAATTTAAGTTCAATTTTTATCTTTTTTCACTTTCTTTACGATATTACTAACTGTAGCCATTATCGTCAACTTATACTATATAGCCTATAGTACATCACAATTAAATGTGTAAAAGTAAGACATAGGAAAAATGTTCATACCTTTTAATATTTCGTAAAATAATTTTATAACAGTTTTTTATATGTCATTACATTTTCACGTATACTTTATTTTAATGTTTCATTATCCTTTC